TGATAGCTTACTTATATTAATATTAAATTCAAAGTTCTCATCATCAGAAAGAAAAATATTTTACAAGAAATCCTTCTTAGAATACCAAAAGAATAATTTCAATTCAAGTTTTGCTTTCCTTTTTTTTACAGTTATACTTTAAGTATTTTTTTATAATCCGAAAGTCTTGGAATCTTAAAAAAAAGATTAAGATGCTTTTCATTTTACAGCTTTATAACTAGTAAAATATAAGTTATAATTTTAAATATTTTTAATCCTCCCAAAGTCTTGGAATGTGGGAAGCCATAAAACTTTTTTTAAATATTACGGTTTAATTTGATTATGGATTTTTATTCCACTTTATCACAACCATGCTGAATTTTTTTTTTACATTAGTGTCATATAAAATAAAATTAGCCAATTTGTAGGCGCGCACTTACCGTGAAAACTATCGTAGTTTTGTTTACTCTGATCTTGGAACATTAAGTTGGTGTACATCTTCTGTTTTTGCTCCAGGTGCCACTTCATCGCTGGACTTAGCTCCGGGTAGAACATTTTCAATCCTTAGCTAACCCACAGTTCAGACAATCCTTTATCACTGCGCTTTAATCCCGCATTCAATTCTTTGTTTTTTGTTATCACAAGTATTCCTTATTCCGTAAAAATCCTTGAATCTTGTTCTGGTGATAATCCGCGAAAATGTTTGCGTGTAATCCTTGAGATTATCCCTTGTAAATATATAGACTGGGTTGAGTGTGTGTGTTTAGTGTGGGGAACCAAAATAAACTAATGTCCTCTCGACTGCGCACCATATGGGGGGTAGAGGAAGGTGGGGGGCAAAAGTTGGGTAGCCCAAAGGAGGGTTGGCCCCGGGAAAGGGGGGAAGTCCCCTCAAATCTGGGGGAATAAGCCCAGCGGAACCGACTCAGATTTCATAGAGGTTTCGTGAATTTGACAAAAGGAAAAATATAGAACTTGGGGATATTTGATAAAATTGTCAAAACTTGGAAGTTTTGATTTTAGAACTTTCTAGATTCTTTTCTATCGATAATCTTTTTCATCATTTTTTTATTGCTTTTTGGTAAGTTTACCTTTAGCTTTCTTTTAAATTGACAGCATACAGATTTTTAAAATTACAGTAAATGTATGAAGGTGCAATAGATGTTTGAAAAAAAGATGAAAAGAATTAAAAAAATATTGTTTTTGATAAATATTAACATGTGACACATGTTTTAATATCCAATTTTCAAGGTCTTTTTAAAAATAAAATTTTTTACTTACATCATAAATTAAAATAAAAAATTGGCTTTTTAAGATTTTTTTTGCACCACCTACCAGCCTTTCTACATTCCTGTACCATACGCAAAAATTACCAGAATATTTTTAGAAAAAAATTCTTCAAATAACTATTTCATTCATAAGTCAAGAAGGTGTAAAGCACTATAGTGCCAATACATCACTAACTAACATATTGATAGAGCTAATTAAACTAGGTTACACGTTTTAGAGAGAATTCCGAGTTGAATCTAGTTAAAACTTATCTAGAAAATCGACAATATTATTTTAAAAATCAAATGTCGGATATCAAGAATATCATGTTGAAAATCAAAATTATCATGTTAAAAATCAAAAATCTGATGTTGAAAATCAAAAATAATCATGTAAAACATCAAAAATTTCATGTTAAGAATCAAAATTTCATGTTGAAAATCAAAATTATCATGTTAAAAATAAAAAATTTCACGTTGAAAATCAAAAATTTCATATTGAAAATCAAAATTATCATGTTAAAAATCAAAAATTTCATGTTGAAAATCAAAAATTTCATGTTGAAAATCAAAATTATCATGTTAAAAATCAAAAATATCATGTTGAAAATCAAAATTATCATTTTAAAAATCAAAAATTTCATTGAAAATCAAAATTATCATGTTAAAAATCAAAAATTTCATGTTGAAAATCAAAAATTTCATGTTGAAAATCAAAATTATCATGTTAAAAATCAAAAATATCATGTTGAAAATCAAAATTATCATTTTAAAAATCAAAAATTTCATGTTGAAAATCAAAATTATCATGTTAAAAATAAAATATCAAATTGAAAATCAAAAACATCCATAGAAAATCAAAAATATCATGTTGAAAATTCAAAAATATCCTGTTGGAAATCCAAATATCATGTTGAAAATCAAAAATAACATATTGGAAAACAAAAATATCATGTTAAAAATCAAAAGCATCCATAGAAAATCAAAAATATTATGTTGAAAATTCAAAAATATCATATTGGAAATAAAAAATATCATGTTGTTGAAAATCAAAAATATCATCTTGGAAATAAAAAATATCATGTTGGAAATCAAAAATATCATGTTGTTGAAAATCAAAAATATCATGTTGGATATCAAAAATATCATGTCGAAAATCAAAAATATCATGTTGAAAATCAAAATTATCATGTTGAAAATCAAAATTACCATGTTGAAAATCAAAAAAAAATTGTCTTTAACATTCTCAAGACCACCTTCCTCTTCAGGTCCTGAAGAAGAGAAGGTGACTGAGCTAGGTGACAAGATTACTATGGGTGTAATTCATTCCATATTCTTTTTCGGAATAAATCATTATTCAAACAATATTCCTCTAGTGAACTCTTGAAATATTTGGTTGCGAAGCAAAATCTAAGTTTCTTGGTTGCAAAGCTAATTCTTGACATAATTGGTTGCAACGTTGTTTCTTGTTCTAATTGCTTTCAAAGTTTTTTCTAGTTCTGATGATAATGAAGCTGATATAGTTGGTTGCAAAGAACTTGTTTTGTTGGTTAGTAGCAAAGCAGTTTCTTAATAATGTTGGTTGAACCAACTAATCTATGTTAAGCTTTGCAACCAAATATATTAATAATTAGCTTTGCAGCCAATTCAGCGAGATTCAGCTTTGCAACCAACTGGAACAAAATTTAGCTTTCCAACCAATGTTTGTTCTAAACAGTTTTGCAACTAACCTTTCAACCGCGTTTTCATCGGTTGTAAAGCAATTGTTAAGTTGGTTGCAAAGCTGTTTCTTAAGAAAGTTAATTGCAAAGTTTTTTTTTAGTTTGTTGCAAAGCTGTATCTTGTTTTCAATGGTTGTAAATCACTTGTTTTGGTTGATTCGGCACAAAAAATTTGCTCACTCGCATGCTTAGTTGGTTGCATGGTTAGTTGCAGAGCTGATTCTTAAAATAGAACCAACTATGTCAAGAGATGTTTCTTGTTTTATGCAGTTTGTTTCTTGTTTTGTTGGTTGCAAAAATAAAGCTTTTTTGGATTAAAAAGCTGTTTTTTACAGTTAAAGGTGTGAAGTTGAATCTTGTTTTTTGTTTGTATTCTAAGCTGTTGCTTGCCATAGTCATGGCTGCAAAGCTGAATCTTGTTTTGTTTGTAGCTGTTTTTTATGTTGATGGTTGCAAAGCTGTTTTTTAATATAGTTGGTGACTGGAAGCTGTTTCTTGATGTATATGGTTGTTTGTAATGCGGAATCTTTGATGCTCTCAAAGCCATATTCCTTGAATTAAGCTGAATCTTTTTTTTGTTTAGTTGGTTGCAAAATTGTTTTTAATTATAATTGGTCGCAAAGCTGAATCTTGTTAGTTTCAGGTTGCAAATGCTGAATCAATTTTTTAGTTGCAGTTGCAAAGCTGATTAGTTTGTCTATGTTTGAAATAAATAGTTGGTTGCAAAGCTAATTTTTGATATGGTTGCAAAGCTGAATCTTGATTAGTTTGAATTGCAAAGCTGAATCTTGTTTATAGTTGGTTCCCAAGCTGCAGTTTCTCTAGTAGCAGATGGTTGCAAAATTGTTAACTGGTTCTTACGTTATAATTTTCAAAATTTCCAAAGCCCTAGACCAATTTATTCGCGTGGAAACAGTTAAAATAATTATTTTTTAAAGAAAAATGAGCGCAATGCACCCTGAAAGACTAATTGCTTAAAATTATTCGTTAAGTTAGGGGTATATTATGAACACTATAATTCAGGGGTGTATTCTCGGACACAGGACAGGAATTTATGTCTGGAACCTGATCAGCACCCGTTGGAGCCTAAAAACCTCCTTAAAACCATAGATTTTACTGATCCAGTGGGGGTTACTATGTCTCCGAACCCTCCCCCCCTGTATACGCCTCTGCACAAATAATCTTACTCCCTACCTCTGCTAAAATAAAGAGAAAGATTAATTGATTGAAAGGCTAAAACCTCCCAAAACATGTGGAATGCAAAGTATTACGGGGCATTGTCAGTAAATATGCGCACAACACCCGGTCCTTATTTCGCGAAACTTCTCGAATATTCTAATTAAAGTTAAAGTAAAATTTGAAGGCCTAACTTTGCTAAACTGAAGTAATATGATGTTTAAATGAATCAAAATGTCGAACATATTGTTGAGTTCCGTGACGACAGTTTCGATCCCCGAGGTTGTAAACGAAGAAAACATAATCTATTATATTATAACTGTTAAGGTAGGATATATTTATCATATTCCATAACATAGATAAAACATGATTTGTATAGTAAAATGATGATCTGTCCTAGAGAACGTTTTTTGGTATTAAACCTCACATGCTCA